TGTTCTGTGGCAATACTGGTTTCGATGCTGCACATCATCATGCACCTGACACCGCTTGTATCATTTATTACTGTTTTACGCATATTGCTATCGACCATGAAGGTATAGTTGGCTCCATCTACAGAACACGTAGCGGTATGAATAAAAAAACGACGGCATGTGGAGCTCTCGCTGCATTCACTGCGGAAATTGTATCGAATAAATTGAATCTTAGTTTTGATAAAAATGATATTGAAATGAGCATGCTAAAGAAACATATCATTAACAAGAGTGGCCTTTCAACCGATGCCACAAATGCCCCGGATTTACTCAAAGTGACAATGGCTGCTTACGAAACGATCACCATTGATTTAGAAAAACACGCTCGACATGACGCAAAAAATTTTAAAGATCGACAACATGCCTTGTTTACTGGCGTTCAGATACATGGACCAGAAGGTTCTGATTATTGTTGGTTGGGAAAAGCAAGTTTATTAAGTAAAGGACAATTATCACCATTGGTACTTGAGACGAATGCTAATTTTCTGTTATAAAGTAGACCACCAAACGAGCGACAGCGACACAACAGAGACATTTTTGACTTAGCTGAATATCTCACAAGAGTTGTGCGTTAACTATTAAATTATAGTCATGCTCATGACTATATGTGGGTATAAGCAACAGACTCATGGCTATGTCGTGGACGCAACTGTAGTATATAATTACTACTAGCTACGAAGACTTCTAAAATTCACTTGTCAGACCGAAGCTTTTTGTCAAACTCGTTTCATTCAAGCAAACGAATTTCTCTTGAATCGTTCTAGGCTATTTTTCACAAAAGTAAAAACCAAGAATGAAATGCTCAAGCAATCAACATTCTTAGCAGGAGTTTCTACAGAAAGTATTCGACTGGAATCTTTTTGTAGTTTTCCTGAGCAAATGCAGCGTTTCTTAAATTCTAGTTGTAATCAAGATTGTCAGGATATGGATGTGGATGAATCTGTGGGACTATATCATGTCTCATAGTATGAGTGTGAATTTCAGTGTCTCCTCTTGAGCAAGTCGTAAGCCGACATCGATATCCAGAACCGATCTTTATACCCAGAGTAAAGTGTTCATGGTTTTCTACTAGTGCGTTGAATTCAGCTATCGTTGGTTGAACTTTGGCCGAGGGTGTGGGTGTGAATGTAGGTGTGACTGTGGCTGTGGTTATGGTTGTGTAGTAGAATGTGGATATGGGTACGTGTGGACCTTCTTTTCATTCACATTCACACGCATCCACCCACATCCACACTCACACCCATCCTAGTAAATGTCGTTGTTTTATTCGAGCTAATGTTCAAAACATTTGAAGAATGCCTGCGAGAGCCTTAAATTGTATGTTCAATGAACGTACATCAATAATAACTATTACAATACTGGCTAAAGTTTTCAGATCCTTCTCGTGGTTTTGCGCTGATTTTTGTTTTTTCCGCCCTTCAAATTTCTCTATGGGAATAATGGATGTCTCATGGCAGATTCCTAGATTTTGCTTGCTGCCTTTGTTCAAATAAATATTAGGGAACAAACGCAGTAATAATCATCTACTCGTTTATTTTTCATTCGAGACAATGTAAATGACTCAATCTTTGTCTTTGCATAGATTTAGTTTGGTTTAGAATAAAATTCTACATTTGACTGTACTAAGGACGCTCAAATTGTTTTAACAGAATGTTAACTGGATAATACAGAAATATCTTTTGTCCGTCTGTGCGTTAGTAATTTGGAATGACAGATAGTTATCTTCACTGATTATTTCTTCAAAAGCCTGTCATTGACGCAACGATATCAACCAATTGAAATTTATTTTGAAATGCATTCAAATGACATAGAACATTGTTATCTTTTATACTGAAAATCTTTATTTCATCCAGTCACCGTTTCATTGACCTTAAAGTAGTCAAAACGAATGATCATCCACGTTGCTGAGTTGAATGAGTTCCATCTATTTAAATAAAATAACAAATATAGAAACTCGAAAACCTATTTCATGAATTCCCGTTCCATCTAATTCATCATCACGATCAATACCACGTAGTCCAAATCGAACAAAAGATAAACGGTTAAATTAGTTTATTATTCCATACTCATAGGAATCATGCATGAAGGATATCTGGACACACTTACTATGAATATTTTCATTTTTTTTCTCATACAACTTTCGGCGAAATTTTGAACAGTAGTTTTAAGTAGGAAACAGAACTTTCTTTATCGTGGTAGAACACATCTTGCAAAACAAAGGACTCTTTCCTGTCACCAGCCAACAGGACGAGTTTTTCATTGCATTTTTGACCAGGATAAAAACTTGTCTGAATATCATAGACGTACTATTTTTTACAAAAGTCATGTTAATAAATCTTATCATATATTTTTTAGTAGAAATGAAATGAACAACAAAAAAATACTTGACATTCATAAGATGAACAAAACAATAATGAAACAAATAAGCTGAGTTAAACAATCTTTCTACCGAAACACTACTGGCCAGTATGGCATGTACTCTTCTGACTACTACTGATAATACTGAAAGTATCACGACGAATTCCAGTACTAGACTAGAAGTTCATTGAATCACGATCAATTAGGTGACTTAGGTTCCATGTGATAATTACTGCCAGGTTTTTTTTTGACAGTATTGTATCAAAATGGGTGAATATTTTTGAAGTCTATTAAAACCTGACAAAACTGAGTCAATTTTGGTGACCGCTGATAATGTTGATACTACTAAGCCGATTACACTAGTCACGGCCTCACTATGAGATAAATTTTTATTATAGATGGTGATGATGTAAAAAGTTCTATTAGTAAAAAACCTTCTGAAACCGCCAGTTCTTCTGAGTACCGCGGTGTCCGAAAAAGAGATTGTCCTGTTCCTGTATGTGCAGCACAGAATAGGTTATCTGTAGGACACATCTTACAGAATACGCGTTCTATGACAGGAAATGAACTGAATCAATTAGTTGAATATGAATATGATGTTGAAATAATTGAAGATTATGCTATGTGTGCAGCTAGTTATTTTCTCGATCAGTAATATGAGATTTTCGAGTTCCGTTTGTATTGAACTTCATTTTTTGTTTGTACTATATTCTACCCGTTTAAATACAATGTATTTTAAAAATAAAAATTTTGCAATAGATTATATGTTTGTTTATTGTTTATGAAATGTGTCTTTTGTCTTTCTTTATATTCACTTATTTACATAATAAACTGTTATTTAATAAAAAGGAAGCCATATAAAGTGATGTCCCATAAGTTCTGAGTATCAACAAAAATTAATTTATGTGTAAACAAAGAGTGATCTCTGCCTAATTACATCTATATGAAATTCGAATATTTAGGACGATGTTTTAAATCGCATATTATCCGATGACATTATCACTTTTAATAATAGTGATATAAACAGAACAAGAAACGTGATTGTTAAAATTCTCGAAATTGACTAGTATTTTTTAATTAACTCTTAATTCATCGTGTGGAACGTAACACAATTATATAAAGCAATACGTAGCATCTAATGTGTGGGTGGAACTATCCTTTGCACCCACACCCTAACTATTACGTTTCTTTTGTTTATATCACTATTATTAAAAGAAATAATTTAATCGCATAATATGTCATTTAATCCTTTCCGACCTATAGCTAAACCAATGGACGAAATTTTTTTGAGACTTTATATTTTATATGGCCATTAAGCATTGTTGATATTTTCATCAAAACTTTTCAAAAAAATCTTTAAAACCATTTTCGATCCATACCCGTACTCCCCCACAGGGATGGCGAAGAAGTATATTGACCGTCCCTGTGGGAGTGTACGGGTATGAGTCAAAATTCGATTGAGAACTGTCGTCAAATCAACCTTTGGAATATCACTACAAGCCACTGCTAATTTGATTTCAACACGAAAAATCGAAGTATTTCGTGGATCGCAGAAGGACATTATCCGCTCTTCTTCTTTTTAGAATAGAAGTGATGTTCCAAAGATCCATCAGACTTACTACCAGAGTGACCTCATTAGGGCGATAACCCTTGTATAGATGTATGCATCGAAGTCTCTTTTATGTCACAGAGAAAACCGCACTTCGATATCATCTCGCGTTCGCGAGTTATTCAAAGATTAAGAAATTTGAAAAAATCGTACTATACTTAGTACGGTGGCACTGAAAGGGGTAATTTGGTTTTCAGTAGGTCTCTCTATAATTATTGTGTATTCTTCATAATTATTATTTTAAACTAAAATATAGTCAATTATAATAATGTTCTACCTGTTTATATTCTTTTTTTTCTGTTTTGAAGAAACAAGAAAATCAATTAAACTTTTAACGACACGAGAACTAACCATTCTTTCGTTTGTTTTTCACAAAAAATATTATTTTGAATCCTGGCATTTTTTTGTTATAAATCTCCTTACTGGAGAGACAAGTTATTTCATTTTTTTCTAATATTACAAGTAAACATGCATGACATTGAATAAAAATCTATACAATTGATATAAGAAAGAAGTCATATTGTATCTAGGAATAGATACTCAATATCTACAAAACAAATTTTTGTTTTTTTAATTTTCTGATGTTCATCTGTCATACATGATCAACATTGAAACTAGATCACTATATGTACTGTTCTATGAATAAAGAAACAGCATGCATTAGAATTGTCGAGTAAATGAGTGAGAAAAAAACATCAGTCATTGACTTATTTATTTTTAACTCAGATTATATAGAAATAGATGATTCTTTCTCCTTGCTGACGTCAGCGGGTAAAATAGAGCGAGAGTGTATATAAGTAATTGTTAAAAAATAATTGACATAGAAATGAACATGGGAGATTTATATGTCCGACTAACAAATATACCCGATGAAATACTTTTATTGATCTTGAATAGATTAACCAATATCGAAGTGCTATATTCTCTAATAGGCATTAACATACGACTTGATAAAATCGTAAATGATCCTATCTTTACCGAACATTTAACATTAATGAAACGTTCATCGAATGGTATTATCAATTCATTAGATGATTCAATACTTGAACGATTTTGTTCATATATATTGCCTAAAATTCATTATAAAATCAAGTGGCTTGATCTAGAACCATTATGTATGGAACGTATTCTTCTTGTTGCTGACTATCCTAATTTACATGGACTTTCTCTTTTCAATATTGAACGTGATACAATTTTACGTTTATTTGGTGGTAAGCAGTTTCATTTCTACTGATTTAATCACCAAACTATGGAACTTACATGAAGATGAATAACATAGTCATTTTTAATATAATTGAGTACGATCATTGCAAATTGTTTATGTCAATCTATTTTTGAACTTAGTTATAAATAAAAGTGAAATAAATATTAAGAGATTGAAGAAATCTAACAATAGAAAGATAGCATAAAGATCGACATCGAAAGTAACCAATTATCGAGCTTTGATTTTAAAATAATACTACGAGGATTTTTTTAAATGTCTTTAGAGAAAACTCATCTAGATCGCATCTTTAAAAATCATATTAAAACATTGATTATTACAATTGCTAAAAATGAAATAATAGGATCAATATCAAACATAATCAATATAGTGTGTACTTATGTTTTAACTATGTGCACCAATTTACTATGCTTAAAATTTCATCCATATTCCGATATTTATGTCGACTTTAGTGAACGATTATCTTTCGAATCAATAAAATCTGCAAGTTTTTTTTCTTCAAATTTAATGGAATTACATATCAATGTCGACGATTTTACTGATTGTCTTTATCTGCTTGATGGTCGTTTCCAACAACTTCGTACTTTCTATGTTGATATTCGTTTGTTTACTCCTCCATCACAAGCAATTATTAACAAGGTAGCTTATTAGAATTAAGGAAACTAAGGAGTTTTATTTTGTTTTTCTTTTTTAGAAAGAATTAATTCATTTGAAATGTTTTTCATTAACTTGTGGCTTAGAAATAATGTTTTATGAAGAATCGATGGTACCTCTCCTCCATCGAATGTCTAATCTAGAAGAACTATTCTTGAATGTCTCCATCGGTCGTAGTACTCCTATTAAATCATTCATTGATGGAAATGATTTGAAAATAGATATTATGAGTCATATGCCAAAGTTAAATAAATTCGTATTCAGTATTCATTCAAATTTAAATGTTGATGATTTAACACATTTGCCATCAAATGAAGATATTCAACGTACATTTAAAGGTCTCGAAGATTATCAAATCATTTCTTATATTCATTATTTTCCAGATGATTGTATTGGTCAATGTCATATGTATTCACAACCGTATACAATGAATTATTTATATCGACTTACAAATAGTTTTCCAGGTGGATTATTCAAATTTGTTCATAAAGTCTCACTATATGATGAACATCCTTTTGAACACGAATTCTTCATTCGAATTGCTCAATCATTTCCATTGCTTAGAACATTGTCTATTGACAATGAGTCACCACAAAAACATAAACAACGTCAACAGTTAAACAAAGATCGTCGCAGTTTGCCAGTTATTAAATATGCTCATCTTACTCTGCTCTCTCTCAATAGCGCTCATAATGATTACATCGAACAATTTCTAATTCATACTAAAACATGTCTATCAAATTATATTAGTCTTGATGTCTATTATCCTTCTCTTCAAAAGGTAACTAACAACTTCACAAGAGATACAACACGAATCAACTGTGCCAAAATTAATTATATATACAATATTGACAAATGGAATGTTTCTAAACATTTCCATACATATTTTCCTTATGTTGAAAAATTCTGACTTTTAATTAATTAAATAAATCGACTAAAACTTAAAATTAAATTATTTAAGTTTTACATAACCAATACAAATATCAAAATATTGTTAAAGCTAAAGAAACATAAGGTGGACACTCGTTTCTATACTATTTTACAGCATAAAAATAAGTCATGACACGATCTTCACTTTTTTAAATCTACATTCATGCATTAAAATCAAATGTTTAGTCTTCTGATCAAATTGAAATTCATGATTTAAATCCAAATGATTTGCTAATATATTTAAACTTAAATGCGCACGTTTTGTAATACACATCAATAAGATAAGAAGGGACATAATCAATAGTTCGTCCATCAGGTGTCAGCAGATTTCCTGAACCAATTGTATCTTGTTGCAATGGACCAATGATATTAATGTCAAAATCTAAAGAAAAAGAAAACATGATATACATAGAAAAAACAAATTTTTTCTCTTACCAGTAAATGTTGAATGGACCGAACTAGCACTAGAACCACTTGGTACATTGATATTTGAATCCAAAGAAAAAAAAAATCATATACAAAACAAAATGAAGTTTTTTCTCTTACTAGGAAATGTTGAATGAGCTGGATATGTACCAGCATGACCACTTAGTTTATTGACATTTTAATTCAAGAAAATAAATCTGCAACTTGATTTTCTAAGTGAAATTTAAGAAATTTTATGAGCTTCATTTTGTCCTTATTGAGATAATCTCGAGGAGATTTTTAAACAGAACATATTTCAACTGAAATTTTGTCATTAATTAGGTCTTCTAATCCTAAAAACATTCTTAGGATCATGAAATCTAATTATCAACAAAATTTCAAATCAAAAATTTTTCAGCCAATACTCCGCCGTATAGGAAAAAATCAAGCAAAACTATCGTTATTCTTTCAAGACGAGTTATAGGTCCGAATCCTCTTGAGATTATTCTAATTTCAAGACTCGCTCTACATATAACATAAGTACATATTTTAGTTGTTCTATATTAAATAAGAGAAAATGATTATTGTTAATAAAAATGATAATATTTATGTTATTCTTTACGCCATAGATAAATAACCAATATTTAACACCAAAATAATCATAATCTTTGTTGAAGTATAGTAAATATGAGAAATATTTTCTTTCTTATCAGTATCATCACAGCATGTTTAACGTCAACAAACTTTTATAAAAAAAATAAAGTTATCTTCATAATAAAGGAAAACATGGATGAACGTTTTCTGATCAAATAAAACGATACACCTTCATTAACACTTTTCAATTTAGTGTAATTGAGACATTCTACATCATTGATGAAATTGTTTGTCACTATTGGAAGTACTTTTTATTTGATACTGAATATTTGTAAACTAGGCAAATGAACTTTTTTTTTCTTTATTAAAGAGAAATTGCTCAGCATAATTATGCTGGTCTTTTTGTGTTTGATTATTACATATAAATCATTCTTTGAAATAAGCAAAGTTTGAAGAATTGATATTCGAAAGGAAGTATATCATTCATCAACAAGATTCAAACTTTATCAAATATGTTGCTCTGAAAAGAATTATTCACATGAATGAAATATTCAAATTAATATGGAAGCAATTAGATATGCGATCTGCTTTCGACATTTATTGTTCTAGTATTACCATATGAAGATCAACTTGTCCATATCCTCTTTTTCGATGAAACGATCAATGCTAACATTCTTGTTAAGAAATAAGAATTTCATCATATTATTGAATCTCGTCAAAATATAAGTCAAATCAAGTCTTATTATTGATACAATGTGTATTTCATCGAGATTAATGAGAAATATTTCAATTTGAAAAGTTTTTCCTTCAAAACACAATAATAGATATTATACTAGAGTCTTACATGGAGTCTACTAAATTTTTTGTTGAAAATTCAGTTTTAATATATAAACTTTTTTGAATAGTAAGTTTTGTTCTTTGATCTTTACTGTACAAATTGGCGGCTTTCGAACATTCCAACGACGTCTTATCAAGGCTGACAGACATGAAAGAAGAAAGTCAGAGTTGAATTTGGCTTCAACTTTGTTTCGTGCTCGAATGCTTCTATATGACTTTATTGGGACGTTTACAATGCACCAATTGGTACAGAAAATATCAGAATACAAAGCCTTCTTACCAAAAAGTTCATATGTTAAAACTAAGTTTTCAGCAAAAAATTTAGTTGACTCCCTGCAGGTCTCTAATATTCTTTCGTGTATTTTTCTTAACGGATAACTTATTGAGCACTATCGGTAGATGTATCTTGTAAAGATAAAAAATCGAATTGTATTATTAACAACCCTGATTGTCGTATTTACATCTTTCGAATAACAAAAAAGAAACAATACAGAAAAAATCCTATATTTGATATGTTTAGACGTTATTTAGTCTGTATAAATAACATTATTATTATCATGAATCTGAGTAGGTAAAATGCATATTTGTTTCCATACATGGATTTCAAAAATTTAATTGTATTTATT